CCCCCCCCCCCCCCCCCCCCCCCCCCCCCCCCCCCCCACCCCCCCCCCCCCCCCCGTGTAAGAGAAGGCTTCACGGCCACAGTAATAATACAAATGTGTTTTAGTGTTGCGATTTTCAATTTTTTTTTTTATTTAAAAATATATTAAAATAATTTTTATTTTTTTATACAGGTAATGCTCTAAAATTTTTATAAATTATATTAAAAGGTTTAAATCTGTTCCAATCATCCAGTTTTTATTCGGTTTAATTTAGTTATTTTCAATAAAAAATCAAAATTTAACTGATAAGTTTCTATTTGATTTAATTATTTTATATTAAAAAATGAAAATTATATATTTTTTTAAACCTTTTAAAGGGTATTTTTATTTGATTCAGTTTAGTTTTTTTTATTTTAAATTTATAAAACCGAATCAAATCAAATTTTTTTCATGATTCAAAATTTTCAGTGTTTATCCTGTTTTCTTGATTTATTGGTTTCTTTCTCACCCCAACTTAAAACACGCAGGAATATAATTCCAAATATAAAAACAAACAGTGGCTAGTCAGATATAGTTAAAACAGATATATTATTAATTAAGAGGGAGGTTGCATCCCTGGATAAGGGGTCTATCGTGGACCAAAGGCCATTCAGCTACCAAGTTAAAGAGTAATTTCTGTTAATGGGCCTCAAAACTGGGTCGAGCAATTAAATGATCAGCCTGCTACGTATCTTCAACCTGTATTGCAGCATCATCCATTGGAGATTCGAGGTTTTCTAACTGGGTAGGAACTTCGAGTCCAGACAGATTAGATTAAGTCTTGTGCTTTTAAGGGGCTGGGAAGTAGTCCTTCTATTCTTACAACAATACCGTGTGAGACTAGAAAGATCATTAATTTCCTATAGATTACGAAAAATTTATATTTTTGCTACCTCCGAGGAATAATCCAATTTTTTGAAAAATCCGAGTCCGAAAAAGAAAAGGTAGATTATTTAGTTCAAATTATATATTTTTTCATATAAGAAAACAAACATGAAAAACTAGTTTTGCATTGAGTTTGAAAAACATATTTTATAGGTTTCTCAAAGTTTTTCAATACAAGCTTTTCACAAAATAAATGAATATTTATTTTCTTTTATGTACTATCATCTTTTTACAATGTAAGATATTAAAATTATCTTTTAATATTTTCATAAATTTACTTTTTTTATTGTAAATCTAATATAAATAATTTTTTGAGTTAACAATATAAATTTTTATGATAATTTTTTAATTGTTTTAAATAAAAATTAACATTATACTATTAGATTACTATAAATATAAAAAGATTAAGACGAGTATTATAAAGGGAAAATTACCGTTTGGTTCATATTGCGATTACTTACTATAATTCAAAAAATTAGTATTTGCATCTTGAACTTTGTACACATGCTAACATTTAATATTTTTTCCAAAAAAATTAACAAAAAAACATCTAATTGTTTTCAATGCCTGCTGCTGGCTCATGTGCTTTGCAACAGACCCAATTTCAAAATGATGGAATCTTCTTTTGGATTTGAGAAATTTTTAATTTTAAAAAATATATTTTATAAGTTTAGATAAATAAATAAAACTTTAATTATTCTAGAATTTTATAAAAAATACACGTTCTTATTTGAATTTATAATTTACTATATAGATTCTAAATTTTTTATCACCACATCACGACCCTTGAAGACTTCAAGATGATGGAATGATGACACAATTTTGAAATAACTTTGGTTAATATAAATTATGTCAGAAACTAAAAAAAAGCACATTGTCATCACACATATCTGATAACCGCAAATATTACAAGGCCCTTGTAGAAGCTGACGCCTAAATCCCAGGCCTCCTGATATGATTATTATAAATTTTTTTTTATTTACGTGGGGTGTCCGGGCCAGCTTGCATGCACCACGACTAACCCCCACGGCTCATTAAATACCCTGCAAATCTAGTAGGCATGTAAGGCACCGCGGGAGTGACAAGCATGCATACCAGGACTCGAACCCAGGTGCAGTGAAAGGAGACAAGCCCCTTCTACTGCTATGCTAGGCCAAGCCCTGATTTGTAATATGATATGATTATTATAAATTGATTCGGAGGATGCTCAAGTTTACGTCAACTATTTTGACTTAACTTTGGTTCCTTCTACTGTTTTCTTCTTCAACGCTCATCATATGAAAATGGATTCTGGGTACAATTTCCCCCCTGCCCTCCCTATAAGGGAAATTTAATTTTTCATTTCCATTTTGTAATGATAATTAGTGTACCCGCATAGTTGCATAGTTGATTCAGGACTGCAGATGATATCAACAATCTGTTTATTTCTGTATTTTTAAAGTATTTTTGAAAAAAAAAATTGAATTTTTTTTATTTTTTATTTACTTTAAATTAATATATTTTTAGTTTTTTAAATTATTTTGATGTATTAATGTGAAAAATAATTGTTTAAGAATAAAAAATATTTTAATATGAAAAATTATTTAAAAACTAACCATAATTATATTTCTAACCAAGCTTGAAATGGAATGGTGCTTAAAACAAGATTTTATTGATGTAGTTAGGGTATGCTTGTTTTCTTATTTAATTTCCCTTTATTTTTTCACCACTTTGAGTTTGTGCATCCGACATGCATTTGTGAGAACTGAAAGTCACGCACCGGTATAAATATTTTGATTTAAATTAATAATGAAATGGCTGATTTAATCTCTACTTGAGGACATACCATGGAATTTGATTTACCTTTCAGTTGCATTCGCTAGTTTCTTGTATTGGATCTTTTGATTGTCATAGGTTACATATTATGATTGATGATTGCCAGGTGGCACTGGACTAGATTAGGGGCAAACCGGCAAGGTGCTAATTGTTCCCACCTGATTGTAACCCATTTACAGCTGCTCATTTTAAATATGTTGAAGTGGTCATTCTTTAATTTGCCCCCTTGAAATTCTAAAGTCTTATAATCAAATCCAAAATTGTCCTTATCATTGAAAATCTTTTGTTTTTTTAAAAAATTTCACCCCTGGAGCTATACAATTGGATCCTTGAATTTCTATGTTATTTATAGAATGGTCATTTTTTTTTATTTAGTCCTTAATTGATTCTTAAAACTTTTAATTCTCTTAAATTTACTCTTGAAAAAGTTAATTAAAACTCTTAGAATCTCAACACCTATTCATTTTCATCAGTAAAAAATTATATCTTGCAATTTTGACCCAAAATGATTCATGAAATTTGATACTTCTCTAATTAAACCCATACTTACATGAATTCAAATAATTTAAATTTTAATTAAATTTTTAGACTTATCAATTCTTTCGATTTTAACATCATCTATCCATATTTCTTCAACAAGACCTCAAATTATACACCCACCTGTCATTTTAAATAATTATGTATGCCTAGTTAATCTAGATTATTATTATTAATATTTGATTTTATTATATTTATATTTATATTTATATTTTTAGAAATTTCAGTGAGACTTAAAATTAATTTGGTCATGACATAATATATATAAAAAAATATGAAGAAGATAGCTATATATATATATATATATATATTGGAGCTTGATTAGAGCATGGTGATGAAGGAATGAAATGATAGTATTTAAGCTTATTTTGTGTTTTAATATGTCCAAGTTCATATATTCAAATAGTTTCCCTCTTGTGACGGGTTTTGGAGGAAGGGATCTTGATTGGTTACCAAGGAAATGCAAGTCGACATCTGTCTTAATCAAGGGCATCAATTAATGAAGCAGGAGATCGGGGGGCAATCCCTTGCTCGTACCATGCTTTAAATGCAAAATCATGATCTTGTGGGAATGGGTTCAATTTTCCTTCCTCTTGCACTCGGCAGCAACCACGGGTGTCTTTAGTATTGGGTTGCTGTTGTAATTATAATTTGAAAAAGAAATATTTTATAAAAAGTATTTTTAGTTGGTGTTAGTTTGAAAAAATATATGTTTAGTTAAAATTATAGTTAAAATTAAAATTAAATAAAAAGTAGTTTAATATATTTAGTTAAAAAAATACTTTTCAAATTGAGATTGTAAAATAATTAAAAAATATTTTTAATTTAAATATTAAAGATTTAACTACTATTATTACATCATGAAATAAATAATATTAATATTAAATATTTTTTTATTATTCCATTAAACTATATGCAATGTCATCATGTACAAAATCTATTCAATAATGACTATATTTTTCATGGGTTCTCAAATATGTAACAACAAAAATTGAATTATTTGTTATATTATCAAGCGATATCCTTCTAATTTTTTTGAATAAATCACAATTAAAATAAAAATAAAAACTGAATTTTTTTAACTGGGCCGGACCCAACAAGAACATAATTGGAATTGCAATCGAATATTTTTTTAGATTTTTTATTTTATTTTTGACATTAATACATCAAAACTATATAAAATTACTAAAAAAAATCAAGTTAATAACTTTTCAAGTTAAACACACTTTTAAAAACACTCAAACACAATTTTAAACACAAAAACATACTGCCTCTGCCAATTGATGTTAACAAGTGTATCAATATTTAGCTCCCATCCTTGTGATTTGAAGTTTCTCAATCCCATCCTTATAGTTTGTCAAAATTTCCAATTTAACTCCTGATCTTAAATGATAACGTAAGTCTGTTTTTTGAATTTTAGTTTTCTAGTTTTTCTATGAAAAATTATTAATTTACATAAAAAAATGAGGGGATAAAGTACATAAAAAGCATATGAAAAAGGATAAAACAAATTGAGATATATTAACTACTTAAACGAGGAGGGTATCATTGAAACTTTAAAAAGCTTTAGGGATGTTAGAAAATATTTGACACCAAAGATTAGAAATGGAACCTCAGTAAAATATCATTGAAACTTTAAAAAGCTTTGGGGACGTCAACGCATGCTCCACCTTACATTGCAATTATAATTAGTTTTTTTTTAATATTAACATGCATTTCTCGTCGTCAAGGAGTGTTTTTTTTTTTTTTATGATTATTATCAAGGTTCAAATCTTGAAAATTAATTTCAAATAGAATTTTATAAAATTTGTTTGAATAAACCGTATTTACATGGAGAATGGATTCCTAAAATTGTTTAATGAACTTAGTGTGGGGGTGTTTGAGATTTTTCTTTTAATTATCTTTTAAAAGTGTTTTTGACTTGGAAAAAAACATTAAAATGATATTTGATGTTTTTTTCTAGTATTTTCATATAGTTTTTATATGTTAATTTTAAAAATAATATATATATATAATTACTTTAATATATTTTTAAATAAAAAACTATTCTAAAAAGAATTTTATATTATACTATTAAACACGGTATTTAGGGTATTGAAGTAGTTTTATAGTTACGAGTTGAAAATATAAGTTTTAAAAAAACTATAAATTATAATTTTTTTAAAAATTCAAGTTTCTACCGTAGCTCGAGACAAAAGGAAAAAACATGTTTAAAGAAGGAAAATCAAACAACCTTTCAAATTCTAGTCAGTTTAGAAACATCTCCATCATCTCATGCATCAAAATGACAAACCAACCCTTCCTCTCAATTAATATCCAAGAATATTCTTCTGTTGAAAGAAACTTAAATACCTAACCTACCTCTTGAGGACTATAGTTGATTAATTTTTAAAGTAATTTAATTTAAAATGTGAAATTCTTGGGTAGATAAGGTGGTCATTAACGTGATTATTGTTCCTTGACCTTGCTTGCTGAATTAAAGAACGTGCCCCATAAACGGCAAGTTGCAAGTAGAGATAGACAAGGTAAAACTCAGATAATGACATAAATTGGAAAAACATTTGAAAAATAGAATATTTGAACATAATTACATTTTTCAGTATTAATTTTATATATAATTACTATTAAAAATAATGATCGAGCACATTCACATTTTCTAATATCAATTTTATACATAACTATAATTAAAAATAGTGGTTATATAGTGATATTTCCTCTTTTACGAAGTAATTAACATTATAGAAATAAACTCAAAATTTCTATAAAAATTTAAAGGCTAAAAAATAAAATTTAAGATCTAATAACTAAAGAGATAAGTTAATATGGTATGAAAAATAAATAAAAAATAATTTATTAAAAACATACTAGACATCCGTTTTGGACACACTTGGAATCATTGAAAAAATCTTAATATGCAAGAGATATGAATAATCATAGATAATTATATGATGATATCTTTCCTATAAGATAAGAGAATTTATTTTCTTATTTATTATTCTAATTTTTTAATTATTAATTAAAGAATATCAATTTAAAGAAATAAATTAAATATTAATTAAAAAAATAATTAAAAAAAAAAATAAAAAAAAAACAATTCTAACTAGTCTTGATAAATTACTAAATGAGATGATAATTAACTCAAAATTAATTCAAATAAATTTTTTGATAAATTATAACCATGTTGGGTAATTTTTTAAGATGTGGTTTATATCGATTGGTCGAGATATTATTAAATTATGTTAGAATTGCAAAAGACAAAGAAAGGAGGCAGCTGCAACCCCCATTTTCCACGAGGTAAGACCGTTAGCCCTGCTGATCGCCGCTGGGATCTCTGGTGTGTTAGGTAGGTCGTATAGGACAAAGAAAGTGCTGGGCCAAGAAACAGAAGTCTGTCTATAAAAATACAAATCAACGCTGGGATGACTGCACATTTGGATCTCTAGATTAGCATTATAACATATCGTACCTTAGTTGCTTTCAATTTCCTAGCAGACCCCGTTACTGCTCATCATCAGCTTGAGAGTTAAACATGGGAGTAGAAGTTGAAACTGTTTGTGTAACCGGTGCCTCCGGCTTCATCGGATCATGGCTCGTTATGAGACTCCTAGAGAAAGGTTATACGGTCCGAGCCACCGTCCGTGACCCTGGTTAGCCTCGTTCAACCATCTTATAAATAATTTCTTTTACAGCTTTGGTTTATGATATTTTCTCAACAATTGCTCGTTGATATATAGATAACACAAGGAAGGTGAATCATTTGCTGGAATTGCCCAAGGCTGATACCCACTTGACTTTATGGAAAGCTGATCTTTCTGTAGAAGGGAGTTTTGATGAAGCAGTTCAAGGGTGCACGGGTGTGTTCCATGTTGCCACTCCGATGGATTTTGAGTCCAAGGACCCTGAGGTATGATTTCTAACTTTGCAAGCTTGGGAAATGGTCATAGCTCTCTGCCAATGGCGATGGCAGCATTTCAATTTCTAGACTAATGATGGTTATTAAGGAAGGTCGTCAAGGATATATATATATGTATATATATATATTAGCGCTGAAAGTTCTTTGGTCGTCAAGGATATATATATATATATATATATTAGCGCTGAAAGTTCTTTCATATAATAATTAATCACAGGCAAATTCCTAGTGGCAGCAATGGCTCGATAACCGATAGCTTAAGCATGTTTTGACGATTGTTTTTTTCATCATTAAGCTAATTTCGTGGGAACATTACTATTGCTAGAAAAGAGTACTGGAATTAAACTGGAAATCATCCACCTATTGCTTTAATTAACATCAATATACAGAATCATCATGTTCTAAGATATTTTTCCTCTTTGGCAGAATGAGGTGATCAAGCCTACAATCAATGGGGTGCTGGACATCATGAAAGCATGTGCCAAAGCAAAAACTGTTAGAAGGGTAGTATTCACATCATCAGCAGGAACTGTGGATGTTGAAGAACACAAAAAAACAGTGTATGATGAAACCTGCTGGAGTGATTTGGAATTTGTTCAGACCGTAAAAATGACTGGATGGGTTAGTACTATCAAACTGTTTAATTTCCCCTTTCTTTCCTTTGCTGCATAAATTCATCTCTTAGATTCTAACAAGAAATTTTTAAAAAAATTTACCTTGGTGACCAGATGTACTTTGTGTCCAAGACTCTTGCTGAGCAAGCTGCATGGAAGTATGCTAAAGAGAATAACCTGGATTTTATCAGCGTCATACCACCTCTTGTTGTTGGCCCATTCATCATGCCTTCAATGCCACCAAGTCTTATAACCGCCCTTTCTCTGATCACTGGTATATCTGATATCCCCTTCCCATTTTTGTGCTAATTATTATTAATTTACTGTTCTTAAACGTGACACAGAGGGTAATATTTTTCTTGTGACGACAGGAAACGAAGCCCATTATGGAATTATAAAGCAGGGGAATTATGTGCACTTGGATGACCTCTGCAGAGCTCATATAGTTTTGTTCGAGAATCCAAAAGCTGAGGGCCGCTACATCTGTTCCTCGCATGAGGCCACCATTCATGATCTTGCCAAATTGCTCAGAGAAAAATACCCTGAATATAACGTTCCTGCTAAGTTAGCCTCTCACCTAACACAACCATAAATCTTTATAGTAACTTTTTTTCTATATCCGGGATAATTAATCAAAGCACTGTGGTGATCAGGTTCAAAGACATCGACGAGGATTTGGCGAGTGTTGTCTTCTCGTCCAAAAAGCTGATGGACTTGGGCTTTGAGTTCAAATACAGCTTGGAGGAAATGTTCGCAGGTGCCGTGGAAACATGCAGAGAAAAGGGACTAATTCCTCTATCCCATGAAAAACAAGCCGCCGAGGACAAGCTCGTAGGTGCTGTGGAAACATGCAGACCGATTCCCCTCTCCCATGAAAAACAAGCCGTTGAGGAAAGCAAAGAAAAAGGAGGGGTCCCTGCCGATTCTGAGGCCCCTTAGTTTATTAATTAGATGATTGTCAATGGCACAAGCTGTGCACTCTGCAATAATTTTGGTGTGTCCATGTGCTGCCTTTCAATTTGAGTTGCCTCAGAGGGCTTTTCTGTACCATGCTTGTAGTGCAAGGCTATTATTGCGTTGCCAGTTTTATGTACTTTTTTCCTCAAATAAGGTCAACTTCTCATGCACTATTCTTGCTTGCTGAAATTTATTATATAAAAAAAAATCATCAAATTTATTAAGCTACCTTCCATGGAAAATATAAATTTTAACATGCCTTAAAACGGTGTAGTTTCACTATTGAACCAGCATGAAGTGCCAAAGTACAGAGCCCATAGCTCAAAATAAAACTCCTAAGGTCCAGATAACAGTATCTAGGCCCAGTTAACTTGTTAAGATGGGGAAAAGAAACGACGCCGTGTCTGGGCAATCCAGGGGCATTTACTTAAGCGGGTCATATATATATATATATAAACCGACCCTCCCCTAAACCACACCACCCCCTCTCTAGTCTCCTACTGACTCACTGTAACAGACTCTCTTCGCAGAAAACCAAAAACAATGGCGGCGATTTCTTGTCACTGCGCAGTTCCATCGAAAAAAGGCTCTCTCTCCTCTTCATCTTCTGCTTTGTTGACCACTCCTCTCTCTCGATGCTCCCGCTTCTCAGCCGTGTCGGTGCCGTCTCGAGCTAGTAGTGGAAGAATCTCGTGCCAGATTTCCTCATCCTCTGCTACTTCTCCTCCTCCATCGTCCGTCAACGGTCCAGGTCCGTTTCAGTCTGTGATGTGATGTTCTTTCTTTATTGTCGTCCAAATGTCATTTCGTTTGCAGCTATTTGTTTAATCAGTTGTATGTTTAGTTGGAATTAGGTTTTAGGCATTGTTTGATAAGGAGAATACAGGAATTAGGGTTTGGATTTGGAAAGTATTGATAGATGAAGAAAATTTTTTAGGTTGTTGATAGATTAGGTATTTGGATTCGCACTGATTCTTGATATGTTCCAAGAAATGTTTGGATTAGATTGGAGGACCTTTTTTGAAGCCGCAAAGGTTTTTTTTAACCTAATTACTAGAACACTTCAATTTCTATCTTACTCGAATTCAAATACGACGTCCTGCAATTCGAAGTCTACAGCAAGATATTTTACAGCTTTTATGTCTTGTCATATTTTGTTCCATATTTTACAGCAAAAGCAGGGATGAAGGATTTTCTGCACATCAGTGATTTTGACAAAGCTACTATTATGAAGATCTTAGACCGGGCTGCAGAAGTCAAGGCAGTGATAAAATCTGGAGACAGGGCATTCCTTCCATTTAAAGGGAAGACAATGGCTATGATCTTTGCGAAACCGTCCATGAGGACACGAGTTTCATTTGAGACTGGATTTTTCCTACTTGGAGGCCATGCTATATATTTAGGGCCTGATGATATCCAGATGGGTAAACGAGAGGAAACTCGTGATGTTGCTCGTGTTTTGTCACGCTATAACGATATAATTATGGCACGTGTTTTTGCCCATCAGGTATGCTGGTGAGTTTCTTATGTTTATGGTAAATTCCTTCTGATAGTTAATCTATGGTTAATTCCTTTCATGTATGTGGGGTTGCATAAACTGGATTGTGCAGAATTCGGTAAAGGTTTGTGGCTTGAAAACAAGCAAGTGGTGAGGAATTTTGTTTTGTTTTTAAGTTAGTTTTTAAGATTTTTCCTTGCATGAGGATATTTGCAAATGCAGCTGCTTGTTCTTTTTCAGGACATTCTTGATCTGGCAAAACATGCAACAGTACCTGTTATTAATGGCCTGACTGACTATAACCATCCGTGCCAAATAATGGCTGATGCCCTCACCATAATTGAACATGTTTGCCGGTTGGAAGGAACTAAGGTTAGGTCATCGTGCTTTTAATGTAGTTTTATTTTGTACATGCATGACATCGTTCGGTTGCATATGATTATAACCTGACTGTCCACGGCTACAAATTCAGGTTGTATATGTTGGGGATGGGAATAACATTGTACACTCTTGGCTGCTGCTGGCAGCTGTGATTCCTTTCCACTTTGTCTGTGCATGCCCTAAAGGTTTTGAACCAGATGCAAAAACCGTACAGAAGGCACAACAGGCTGGAATCAGCAAGATCGAGATTACTAATGACCCACAGGAAGCTGTTAGAGGAGCTGATGTGGTGTACTCTGATGTGTGGGCCAGCATGGGGCAAAAGGAAGAGGCTGCACACCGTCGCCAAGTATTTCAGGGATTTCAGGTATATAGACCGCCTTTCCCAAACTATTGATTATAAATGTTTTAAGCTTCTCGTGCAGAAAATAAGTAAAATCCAATTAAGACATTGCTAATTTCATGTCCATACATTTTACTATGTTACTATGTTTCTTTCTATTCCTTGTTGAATCTGAGAAACACCTATGATATTGCCTGCCACCAAGTTTGCAAACCTTCTATGTGCTTGGAATCACTTCATTTTGAACTCTCCTAAAGATCTGTTTTGCAGTGATGCACAAGATTAGGCCTATAGTGAATTCTTGAATTTATTTTAGTGCGAATCTTTGTTCCTGATTTCCATTTTTCAATGCAATATATTGCAGGTGGACGAAAATCTGATGAAGTTGGCTGGCCCAAAAGCTTATTTCATGCATTGTTTACCAGCTGAGAGGGGTGTGGAGGTTACTGATGGTGTCATTGAAGCTCCAAACTCCATAGTCTTTCCACAAGCTGAGAATCGCATGCATGCACAGAATGCTATAATGTTACACGCGCTTGGTTTGTAATCTCGTATCAGCATGCCTAATCCAGTCAATTTCATTTCAGTTTGACTAGTTTTAGGATTTTGTGGGTAGAATCCGTAGCTCTGCCTATTTTGTCTCTTCCCTTTTGGTTGTAAAATTGTGTGAACTGAGAAGACGGTACTTCATCACTGTGGTTGGAACTTTTGGGCGTTACCAGTATGTTCTTTCAAAGGAACAGAGTTATCTGGCTGCCAGTTTGAGTTACCATCGTCAGCCTCAAATTTACATTCTTCGCAAATCTATATTGAACATCCTTTATTTCAGATCCGGGTAATACCCGAGCATATGCATGACGAAGCTATAAAGCTGCTGATGCATGGATGGTGATCTCGGATCAGCCATCCCCAAATTCCTAAGTACCCTAACCAGCTACGTTTTTCAATTTGAAGAGGCGTAGAATCTTATGCGGGTGGATCGGTGCGCATTTGTTTTTCGTTGATGTGAGACGCTGGGAACTTCATTATCATGGTTAAACTTTATAATCACGTCAGGCGTATTATTTTTCTTGGGAGGAGCTTATCCACTGAAGGTAGCTGCAATTTTGTTACCATTGTCAGTTTTCTAAGCTTTTCAGTCTCTGTATATTTCATCTATGCCTGAAATCCCCTTTCTGTCATGAAATCTAATATCAAACAATGGGCAGAGTAACTTCTACGCACCCCTTTTGACAGCTTTGAAATTGAATACATGGGCAAATGAATGCACTACAAGAATTTACCTACTGCAAGGATTTAGGTATTGCGGACCAGGGATACGAAGGTGGGTGTGTTTGCCTACAGTGAAGGATTGAGGATTACAAATTTGGCTGTGGATCATGTCTACAGTAAAAGGAAACCTTAGGGACGAGGGTTGACATTGTCTACCGTTCTTCTGCACTGAGTTTGTTCCAGGCATCCTGGGACCACAAAAAACAAAGAAAAGATTCACTTTAAAAACCCAGAACGGATAAAAGAATGAAAAGCATAGCAGTATGGCATTAAGGCTCTGTTTCAATCCTAAATGAAATATGTTGTCAAGTGCCGGTTTTAAAGTTGAAGACCTATCAAGACGTCTGCGATTCTTCATCATATCATGCTTTTAGTTTCTTATCCCCACTTTTCAGAGTAAAATGAATGCAGGACTACTAACTAGGTCATGACAGGCTACATATAATTTTGCTTTAAGGAGCAGAGGGAACAGTAGCCTACCTTTAGAAGATCAAAAACCTTCTCGCAGATGTATTTCTGTTGTATGCTTGCTCCTCGTTGCTGTAACTTGTCAGGATGAACAAATAGAGTGGCCTTTCGATAAGCTTTCTTCACAGCAGTACTTGAAACAAGCTCGGTTAAAGGAATTGACTGCCAGCCACTATCAGGGCCAAGTATCTGCAAGCAAGGGAAATCCAGTTAAAAAAAAAAAAAAAGCAGCTTCAAGGTGATAGCACTCAGAATTCAGTTAAAAAAAACAAGCAGCTTCAAGGTGATAGCACTCAGAATTAATCCCATTTGTGCACAACTGGATTTTTATTTTAAATATTATAAAAAATCAATCTATAATTTATGATGTATTAAGAGCTAGAAACAAAAACAAGCACAGGAAAAGAGACCGTAGATAAGTTAGCAGGTAAGATGATTTAGTCAATAAATTTAGAAAATCATAACACATAATGTATCGGGTATAAGCAGAAAGGTTTCTACACACATATTGCAGTGTTGAAAGAAGAGCACGCAAGTTTCTTTCCTTCCCACTAGACCATCTCTTGACATCAGCATCCAAAGTCTCTGCCAGTCTCTGCCATTGATATTCAGTATAAGACAGTGAGAAAAGTAATAAAAACTAAATATAACTGGAAATATTTTCTAATCTTATTTGTGCAGCTGATTACATTTCTCTCCGCCTGCTCTTTTTGAGCAAGAAGATCACGCATATTCTTCTCTGCAAGAGCTTTTGCCTGGAAGAGACCAAAAACAGAAGCATGCTTGTTAGAAGTAGGAAAAATTAATCTCTATATCTGAATCAGGTGCAGGAGCATACCGCACGCTCTGCTGTTCTTTGATGCCTTTCCAACGTGGCTTTACTCCTTTGAGCTGATTCACCATTACCTCCATTAGCACTTTCTGTTGAGTGGGGAAATCACAAAGCAAAACACAAATTGCTTAGGAGCATCATAGAAGCTGATGAGTCTAATATCCTCATGAAATGATAATGCCTTCTACATATGTATGAGGGGTACTTCAAAACGTTACATACCACCATGATTTGAAGAACCTGTATATCTTGAACTGCTAGAAGGACCTGGGTCCTTGTATTGTTTATCCTGCTAGAAATTCCACAACTGTTAATTTTCCATGCAGAATGCTTTTATGGATAACAAAAGGAGCTAGGAAAATATAAGAAAAGACACTTGCTCTGGTATTCATCCCGTTAGCTTTTGAAATGCTTGAAAGTCTCTCAGCTGTAGACTTTTCAGCCTGATTTCTTGCCTCAAAAGCAGCCTTCTCAGACAATGCTTTTTCTAGGGCACGCTGCCTGGCCTCTGCAGTTGCTCTCTCTACTGCAGCACGTTCAGCTTTTAGTTTGGCTTCAGAAGAAGCCTTCTCAGCTGCTGACTTGTTATTAGCTTCTGAAGGAGTCTTCTCTAGCCTTTCTCGGACCTCAGCCTTTGACCTTTGATGAGCTTTTGCAGCTGCTCTCTCAATAGCAGCCCTTTCGCGTGCTTCTGCAAAAGCCCTTTCGCGTGCTTCTCTTATTGCCCTTTCAACCGCTATTCTCTCCTTTTCTCTTTCTACTTCCCCCTCTTTCACTTTTTCGTTTTTCTTAAAGTGTTCCTGTTCCACCTCCACTTCCTTTTTCAAATCATCTTCACATTCTTTCTCTTCCATTGCCAGGTTTTTGCAACAATTCTCCTCTTTCTTGCTGGTGCTTTGGCTTAATTCCTCTTCCATGGATTTCTCTGTGATCTCCCCTTGCCCTTTAAATATACAAGGTTGCTGACTTGCTTTGGTATTGATACCATTATCTACGCATCTATCATCATGAGAAGATTCAAAAGAATTCTCGTGATTTGCTATAACTTCAGACTCCTTGATATCCTCGTTATTTTCTCCAAATTCACAAGCAGCTTCTTCAATACAACACTCTGGATCACAAATTGATTCTATCTCATCACTGGACCATCTTTCATTATCAGAGGACATCGAACTCTTCTCACTTTCTTCATTACTAGCGTGAACTTCAGGTTCACAAATATCATCACCACCATTATCATCCAATTCAATAGTTACATCTTCAATGCCTTTTTCTTGATTAGGCATGCTCTTGTAATCTGTTACATGATGATTTTGCTTGTTTTCAAAGTTAATGTCATTTTCACCAAAATATACCCCATTTTCGCCAATAAGAAGAGCCTCAGTTACATCTGGAGTTTGCTTCTTGATCCTATCAAGTCCAATGAATCCTTGAGCCAAGCAAGGAATTCCACAATCATGTTCCTCCGGACTGTTTGCGTCTTCGACTGCCTTTGACTCCTTTTCAGTCCCTTGTAACAGAGGAGAAAATTCAGTTACCTCCATTAGCCTTCCATTCTCCTTGGCTGTAAGAACTTGTGTCTTTAAATCCCCAACAGCAAAGTTTGTAGTTCGTCCCCAGGCATTGTCACTCTCACCTAGGTTCTCACTTTTTTCCTGCTCATTTGCATCCTTCGCAGTTTCAAGATTGCCCCCCTCGTATCTTAAGGACTGTTCAGTCACTTCCATGGCCTCTTTATCTTCTCCTCCCTGATGACTCTCTGATCTTATCCTCTCACTTTCTATCTCTTCACACATCTTCTCTCCTCTCTTCTCAATTTCATTCATCTGATCACTTCTTTTGAGTATCTCTTCATCCTCCTTGAGTTCTTCCAGCTTCGCACTCCCTTCTATCCCACCATCTTCACCTGATATTTCTCCCCTGTGCAAATCATTTTGTTTCTCCTCATTTTCTTCTAGGTTCCAACCACCTTGTTTCATTCCACATTCTATCCTGTCCCAGTCTTCTTCCAGTCCCTCCACATTTGCTTCTTTCTCATATATATCATCGAGGCTTCCCTCATACTCATCTTCGGTAATAGGAGCTTCATCTGATCTATTCTCCATTTCCTTATTATCTAGTGCCTCCCTTTGTTTCTTCTCAGTTTCCACGGAGTCCTGAGCATCTTTTAGTTCCTTCATTTCTTCATTCTCCTCCAACTCCTGGATTGGAAATTCTGCTTTTTTGTGAGGGTGATGAAGTTTTTCCGGCTTAGTTTCACAGTCTTCCCAATCATCAGACACTATAGATGTTTGTTCAGCTTCTTCATGATTGTTAGAAATTCTCATTTTCTCCACGTTTTCTTCCTGGTTATGAAGCCCTCGAGCTGGCTTAACGAAGTTTGCATATAAATTCCACTGAAATGCTCCTACAACTGAATTTAGTTCTCTCTCGACCTTGTGCTCCTTAAAAGCTTCCTCGCCGCGCTCTGGCATTTTGATTTTTTCTTCTGCAGTCATCTTCTCTCTCCATTTATTTTCATGTTCATATGACACCATTTTCTCTGCATTGCCTGCCTCATATTCTGATGGCATCTCCCTGTGCTCCTCATAGTCCGCAGCTTCAAAAAACTCTTCTGAACTTAGTTCTCTCTCGACCTTGTGCTCAAAAGCTTCCTCGCCGCGCCCTGGCATTTTGATTTTTTCTTCTGCAGTCATCTTCTCTCTCCATTTATTTTCATGTTCATATGACACCATTTTCTCTGCATTGCCTGCCTCATATTCTGATGGCATCTCCCTGTGCTCCTCATAGTCCGCAGCTTCAAAAAATTCTTCTGAACTTAGTTCTCTCTCGACCTTGTGCTCCTTAAAAGCTTCCTCGCTGCGCCCTGGCATTTTGATTTTTTCTTCTGCAGTCATCTTCTCTCTCCATTTATTTTCATGATCATATGACACCATTTTCTCTGCATTGCCTGCCTCCTCATATTCTGATGGCATCTCCCTGTGCTCCTCATAGTCTGCAGCTTCAAAAAACTCTTCTGTTGACTCCCAGTCTTCTGCTTCTTCCAGTCTACTTTCCATTCGAGTTGATTTGGATTCCATGCTGTGTGTTTTTCTAACAACATTATTAGCAAAAGAAGATTTCTTCTCATCTTCAAAACTCTGGGGTAGTTGGCTTGCTTTTGTCACGTTATGCTCTGATAAGCCAGTAAATACTTGCTTTGGAGTATCCTCTTTTTCATGCATTTCCTGATCCCCCAGCTCAATGGATCTTTTTTTTGATCTTTCTGCAGTTTTAACCCCACTTTTCTGAGCTTTCCAGCCGTTATTAAAGCTTGTCTTTGCATGATTTTGAAGCCCTTCTTTCTTTCTCTCCATCAATTCTTTTGCAATTTTAATTTTCATTTGAGCCTCCTCTATTGCCTTTCTAAGTGCAGCTACTGAGGCAGCAGCATCTGAATTTGCATCTATTTCCTCATCAGATAAAGCTGGTGAATAATCACCCAATGCATCTCTAGAAGCATCATTTCTAGAAACACCAAACTTTGAATCCATTGATGTATTTTCACCACCATTATTATAACTGGAGTTAGATGGTAAGCTTGAAGATGGATGTCTACCTAGGCCAATTTCAAATGCATCAAATGGCATATCATTTGACATGGATCTAGGTCGACTTGATTTCTTCTGAAATTCAGCAAGACTTCTAAAACTGTATGTGTCAATGCTGGGTTGTGGACCTGACACAGCTTTCCTGTGAGCTGCATCTTCCTTCACACTCTTGCTGCCATCAACATTGAGACAAGCATCATCTAATGCTGATCGTGCTGGCTTGCCACCTTCAGCCATCTTTGAGGGAGTGACTTCATCAACTAAAAAAGTATAACCAGGAACTGCATGGAGTTGAGCAACATGTGTCATTCCATTTGCCCCATTTTTGTTTCCTGGGTTGCTTTTATTATAAGACACATTAAACTGTTTCACGCCACCAAACCTCTGGAAAGATGGTTCAGGTGATGAACCTTTTTTATCTTTTGAAACATTAGAATGTTTTGACACTGCATTCCGCGACCTTGCTTCAGCTGGAGACCTACACAATTTTGGGCCCAAGATTATATATATATAAAAAAAAATTCATTCAACTGTCAAGATATATATATATATATATATATATATATATATATATATTTTCATTTCCCATCTCTACAAGTTGAATACACCATCAACAAATCCATTCAACTGTCAAGATAACTAAACAATCAACGAAATTCATTAACAATTTGAGGAAGCCTTTTAGTAGGGCACCAGCTATTCCTTTGGTTAGCTTAAGGACTATCAGCTAAGAAAAAAAAGGTGTTTGGATTTGATAAGGGAAAAGTTTTCCCCCTTCCTTGGAAAGAAAAAGAACTCCCCTGTTACAAGCTCTTTCCAATTTTAAACCAAGCAAGCACATTATGTGATCGCTTCTTTCCAAATTTCTATGTTTGCTTTACTAAAACTAAACCAAGCACAGCTTCAAGTCCAAACCACAAAATCCTTAAATTCTACCTCATTTTCATGATTATAGATTCAAATTTTCACTTATAGAACTTCAAAACACACCCTTCCCTTCCCTCAAAGGAAAAAATCCAAATTTTGAAACTAAAGGGAAAGTTTAAAGTCCATACATACCGAGTTCCATTGATAGAACTCTTGACTTTCTTTGGTTTAGCAAGGAATTCTTCAAGAGGCAAGCCAAAATCAGCATCTCCAAAACCACCAAAAATCTTGGCGTAATCAATCCTTTGTGAACCAACAGAAGAAACATCACCATTCTCATTCAGCTCGGGAACATCAAGAATCGGAATCGAAGAACCAGTAGCACCAAACCCACCGAAGATCTCTCCATAATCCTCCACGCGACTCCCAGGCTTCACTGCACCACCACCGCCACCGCCAAAAACTCCGTCGTACACATGCTTTCCACCATGTCCACGCCCGTTACTCAGCATCTTTGAAAACGGAGCAGCAGCAGAAACAGAAGACTTGTTGGTATTCCACTCGAAGGGAGAAAGAGACAGGACAGTTTTTAGTAGGGTTTTGCTTGAGTTTTTGGTTTTGCTACTTGTTTCTTGTTTTGTTTGGTCTTGTCTGTGCGCTTGGTTTGGTCTTTCTCTGCAGAAAAAATTTTGCAGAGTCAGACGAGAGAGAAGAAGCAGAGAAGGACAGGTATTCTTTAAAAAAAAGAGAGGAAAGGACGATATAAATACATACGATAAATTCGGTGAATATAGTTCTGACTCCGCGATATTTTGTTTTTACAAGCTGGTCGCTTCTCGAGCTAATCAAGTTCGTTTTATTTTTTTTACTAATAATCAAAGATAAGCTACGTATATTGGTATTATAAAATCAATAAATAATTTATTTCTCACGACTAAATTTTAGGTATAAATCACCAACTTTGAGTGGGTAAAATAAATACAAGTGATTAGAATAGAGAATAAGGAAGCATGTATTATTTTATTACCTTTTATCAGGCTTACTTCGGGAAGCTTTGCCATTTACATGAATATTTAAGTTTTTTTTAATTTTTAATTTTTAATTTTTTTAATTTTTAATTTTTTAAAGATTTTATCATTAAATTTTATTTAACAATTGTTTAAATCATTTTTAAACTAACTAAGTTCATTGAATCATATTAAAAAAAATTCTCGTATTATTTAATTTTAAATTTAAGTTGTACAATAAATTAAGTTTTTTAATTTCTCTATTTTATTTATCCATTTCATTCTTAAATTTGTTTTGTTGTTCAATAAGTTATTTTTTGACTAATTAAATTATTTAGGTTGTATTATAACAATTTTCCTATGATTTTGTTTTTTTTTTATCAATTTTATTTTCGCAATTTTCATATGATATTTTTTCTTTATCTATAAACTAATTAAGTTAACTTAAATTTAATAATAATATTAAATAATTATTTATAATTAAGATATTTTTTATTGCATTAAAAATATTTTACTTGAGTTGCTGCTTGGTGTGAGTTTATAAACTAAGATGGAAGAAAGGTGATTTCCAAAACAAATTCCTTTCATCATCCAATCATATTTAAATGCATCAAGAAATAGTTTTATGGTTGTTTGTTATCAATAAAAACTGTATAAAAACTATTTTTTAATGAATATATAATTCCCATACAACAATAATTTTATAAATCGTATACAAATTATGAAAAAAATTATGTTTTAAAATAGAGTTCGGTCTTCTAAGATAAAAAAGAAGCAGGAAAATATTTTATGAGTATATTAATAGATAGACGAACTACTTGAAATTGGATAAAGAAATTAAATTGCTGGCTAGACTGCTAATAATATTTATATATTTTTTATTTTACATATTAGAGTCATCATTAAGAAAAAAACTAATTTTATTTCTCCTTATTGAATTAATATAGAAAAAAAAAAGAGGGAAATTTAACCTGATCTGTATGACATCCTTTACTACCGATACACACGCGCGCGCGCGCGCGCGCGCACTTACTTTCATGCTACTCCCGAGAAAACAATTACTTACGTGTTGTCACTCAGTGGAAAGTATTTTTCATGTGATGAGCTGGCCCAATCAATGATACCGACATAGTAACGTCTAGGGGCAGATCAGGAACTCTGCGTGACACAGCAAGGGTATGTTAGGAAGTAAAAGTTTCTGTGTCCGCTTATATTTTACAGCTGTGTCTCGAGTGGTGATGTGGCGCGCTGTTTTCCTCGGATACTGGCAAACACGGGGCAATTACATATAAGAACTCTATTTCTGTGCGGCAATTTTTTCTTCTGATAATTTTCCTTTTCTGTTTTTGGCGAACAAACCATTCATCATCCAGCTGCAGATGTGATGGAATCATGAAACCAACCAGTTTGGTGATGAGGTTGATTTTTATATCGGTTGTGTTTCGAATCATAATATAAGGTGGATTTTAAATTATTTTTTATTTTAAAATATATTAAAATAATACTTTTAAATTTTTGATACTAAACCGTCAAAACAATAAAAAAAATATTAAAACATTAATTTAAAACCTTTTAAGATAAAAATAAATTAAAAAAAAAACACATTCCGACCACTCTCTCACACAATATCACAGCATCACAGACAATCAAGAACAAAACATGGTTAAGAAGTTGTTTTTCGAGTGAGGTTAAGCATAAAAGAAATTAAATTAGAATTTATCCAATCAGCTAGAAAAAAATTTAAAAAATCAACATATATCTTGATTAATTTTATTTAAATTCAGGTCAATTAAAAAAATTTCAAAACCACATTAATTTTATTTAAAAATTAAAATAATATTATTCTATTGAATGAGTAGCCCAAGTCATTCTATAACCTGGCTCTGGCTGGATTTTTGTTAACATGCCTCGGAAGGCTAGAAGCAAACATCAAAATTCTTTTTCTTTCAGTTCAGGCGTCTGTGATGCTTATTTTTTCAATTTATGACCAACCACTAAAGCTAAGCGCTAACCCTTTTGATCGGGGACAAGATGGGCTGCCTAGAGTTTAGCAAATCAAGTTTGTTGGCAAATTTGACTATTAAATAACAAGGTTAATCAATTAAATAAATGCCATTCTTTAAATATTATTCATGCACGTCGATATTGTTATTACTCATGTCCGTCCCGTGTTCCATTTATAACAACAATGGCAGTGTCTGCTAGCAATTATACCACTACATGTCTCAACGTTCGATGAATTCAAAACTCGGGACCTCCCCAGTCCCACCACACGGGACAGCAACTGGGTTGGAGGGAGCTCGAGACCAAAATTACTCGGCACCCCGCCATACCAGAATATAAATCACAGCTACAGATAGTAAAAAAAAAATTACGGTTTAAAATAAATTGATGAGGCACCGAGTTGACCCGTCAAGTTTTTTCAAGTTTTATAAGCATGGCATAAATAGATAGGTGACTTTTCCTGGGCCATATACTCTGTGGTCCAATTAATTTCGAGATCAAAGAACTGGCTAGTTATTCATCAAATCTTTGTGTCTAAAACTCGAGGGACATCAACTTATAATGATCGACAGCTTTCGCATGGCTGGCTCCTAGCGGGTCTCGAAATAAATCCAAGTACCCAGCAATCATTATGTGAAAAGCGTGCAAATAATTCTACTGTTATTTTCACGTACAGCATCGTGCATCTCCAGTGTTTTTCTAAAATTATTTTATTTTAATTTTTTAATATGTGGAAAATAATTTTTTTAAAATATTATTTATAAATATTAAAAAATAATTTAAAAAATAACAGAACTGTTGCTTTCTTGATATGATCAAGACATCGACAAGATCTTTGATCGTTTAACTTAAAGCCTCCAATTATGAATAGCTTTACTCTGTTATCTACATCTCATTTTTCAACAATTAATTATTGGAAGGCAATTAATCATTTGGGGACATGAACTTACAAGTTACAATTATGGCCCACAAAATGATGGCATCTTTATTTTTATTTTATTTTTTGGAAAATCAACATTATAAAAAGGGCACCAGGAAATAAAGACCAGAATTCTTTTGTTTTTTTAATGGGTGTTTCCCATGCTACTGCGATATGCAGGGATTTTTTTTATTTTTTTTGCCTTTTGCCTTTTTATTCCCACCATTGGATGCATGGTGGGCTTTTCTCTTTACAAGCCCAAGTGAGATGCAAGGTGTTATCTTTACAAGCCCAAGTGAGATGCAAGGTAATAATTTATTCCCATCACTGTAAAATGAAAAAAATAAAAAACTACCATCTTTGTTTTTTATATTTATTTATTATAATTTTAAAAATTATAGTTTATATTTTAAATTTTATTTTACTGAAAAATAATAATTTACATTCTAAATTATTTTATAATTTATTTTATTTTATATTTACTAAACTATAATTTAGAAATTATAAAATGATTTAGAATGTAAATTATTATTTTTCAGTAAAATAAAATTTAAAATATAAACTATAATTTTTAAAAATAAAATGAACAAATATAATAGAATGATTAAGATAAATTTTTTCAATAAAAAATGTAACACTGACTTCTATGTCATTAAGTACTTCGTCACATTAAAATAATTTTTGTTTGGAAATATATTAAAATAATATTTTTTATTAAATTTTAAATTTTATTTTTAACATAATACATCAGAAAAATAATTTAAATAAAAAAATATTTATTTATAAAAAAACTGTCAAGAGACCAAGACAAGAAAGCTATTCAACTTGGTCTGACAAGCTCTTCAACTTGGTCTGACAACCACAGCATAGAAAATAGAAAGTCTGTTGAATCACTCGTGAGCAGTACCGATTAGTCAAACCTTTTACATGTTGTGAGCATTGTAGCTTGAACAGAAATCCCTAGTCTCTACAATGGATAGGTTTTGATGCCTGTTCTCTCCGCAGAGAAAGGCCCATCATCTCTTCCAGCTCTGTTTTTTACTCGCTTATCTAACTTTAGACTAGATTCCGAATCAATGAGTTACTTGGTTGATCTATCCATGTAGCCACGTCGGGTTTCACGAGTATATATGGCGACAAAAATACAAAAGGTTGGTTCGATGATTTAGAAGAATGGCATGATTTGCTTTCTTCTTTACGAGTGAAAGCTCGGAATATCAATGATATTATAAAGAAAAAGGAATGCTATAATATTGTGATGTAGTAATATCAATGATATTATAAAGAAAAAGGAGTGCTATAATATTGTGATGTAGTTATTTTTTTAGATTAACATGGGTGTCTGGATCAGTTTGTGCACACCATGACTAATCTTATGGGTTTTGAAGTTAACGATCATGTAAATCTTCAGTAATTATCATATGAACAATTAAGGACTCGAATCTGAGATCACAGAGAAAGCAAACCTTATAATTCTAAGTTCTTATCACTTACCATCTAAATAATTATTGTGATGTAGTTCTTGATCTGCCGACTGATGAATCTTATAAAGTAGATTTAGGTCAAGGAGGACCTACTTTTTGGGTAAATCTGAGGGGCATATTAAGCAATAATAGCACGAAAGAAATCAAGATCAAAAGCATGAACTGTAACAAAAAAAAACAAAGATCAAAGGCATGAAAAGAAGGCTACTTGTACATCTGCTTTTTGGTTTCCCTCCTTTTCCTTCCTATCGATGACTCATCGCTGCTTTAACTCGAGTGACTACCAACTCATTCCTTTCAGCCTCTGGTTTCTGATAGAGAGTTCTTAAAAGCTCACC